ACTCCTCCTGAGACTCTGCAGGAGTGTGGATCCATTAGGGTAGAATAATCCTAAATGATTGCCACCCCTTCTTCTCAAAACTGAATAGCTCCAAAAGCATTAATTCATCTATGAAGACTGCAAAAATCTGCCTGACCTTGGAGCAAATGCCTCTGTACTGGAAGGATGGAAAAGGTAAATTTAGTCCCCAAGTCTCTTTGCACTTCTGACTCTTTTACCTTATTGCATGTTTCTGCCTTCGTTAAAGCTAATAATCTCAAAACAGCATAAGGGCATATGAAATTTAGTATGTAATTTGTAAATAGTTGCAATCATTATTAAATATACTGAACAAAAAGTATTTAAATGGAACTCTTTCAGGTAGATCAGAGACCAACAGAGAACTGCAAACTTACACAGCCAGCTGGCCATGCTTGTAAGGAAGGAAAAACAGCAGCTGAGAAGTATTCTTCAGACAGCATCTTCATTACAAAATTCTATGTGAAGACCTCGGAGATAGATCTTTTTTGGCTGTTTTTTACCTATGTTCATTTTGGCTATGTGAGCAGGAGGAAAATCTCAAGGAACAAGGAGCCACCTCAGCACCCATTGTACAGGGGTACGGTCTTGTTTCAGGGTCTTAGTCTAGTTTTGCACCATTTATAGTATCACTCTGTTTATAATTCCACTGGGAATATTACAGGATGAAATAAAGAATTAACTGGGTTTATTCCTGATTTATACCAGGTGATGTCAGAGCAAGCTCTCTAACTGCTTATTATAATGTATGCTAATTGTAATTTTTTAATACTACTTAATGCTCTGAAATCTCTGTTTGCAGGGACTGACACAGGCCAAAGTATAGGGTGCTAAGTACTTTCCATAGACAAAGTCCTTAACAAATTTCTGAAACCTCTCCAGCTTTGCCAGGGTGTCCATCTTGTTTGGAGAAGAGTCCTTTTTTTACATTGTTTTTATTTTTGGCTGTTTGCTTTGGTAATTTCAGGTCTTCTTTAATATTAATTTATTAGCAATATTAACATTATTAATCATATCACTATTATTATATTAGCAATTTTTCTTTTCAGTCTTCATGTCTGGGTTTCCTCTCCTGATCAGAGGGCATCTGTGATATGAAGTGAGGTTCTGCCCAGCATCAATACTTCCAGGTAAAAATAAAAGCTGGTGTCATCTGTTCATCACTACCTGGTGTGTACTAAACACCTTTCTGACCTTACTGGGCAAACGCTCATTTTTATTGCGCTCCTTCTGGAGTCATTGACAGACCAATTTTGTGAGAGCAAAGCAGCATCCTGCTTAGTATCTGTACTGTCTTCGGTTGGGTCCTCAGTGCTGTACAGCTCAGGCTGTACCCCCTTTGAAGAATAAGGATTAAGACAACTTCTAGTAGTTTGCTCTGAACATATTAGCATTTTTATTACACAAATGAAGTGGTTATTTTGGTTTGTTTTGGTTTGCATTTTTTTTTTGCTACAGAAGGGTTTCACTAACACTGAGTCAATATAATGTACACTCATTTTTAGAATTGGATGAGATAAAATGGAAGGTCTGGGTCACAGGAAGTCCTAAGGGCTTGATAACAGCACTTCAAAGGGAGAAAAGTTTTCTCTTCAGAAGGGGAAAGTTTTAAAATATATGTCTGACCTTTAAGTATCTTCGAACAATATTATTATGCATAATCTGTCATTCTTTACCCTTTATGCTTCCGACAGGATATTTTTTGACAGAATGTATCCCTTTTTCAGTGCAATCTACATTTTCAAAGTTCAGTGGCACATTAACATTTACAGAAAGTTTAATCAAAGCTTGAATGCCAGAATCACTGTGGGATTAATTAATTAATATTTTGAAAGCACTTGGTAGAAGAAAAGTGCAAAAGAAAAATATGCTTTCCTATTTCTGATGAAAATTAAATTTCCATTGTGCAGATTTTCAATTTAACTTAGTGCCAAAAGGTCCCAATACAGGACTCAGTTTAGTCACATTTTTGCATTCAGACTTGTTCAGTAGAGTGCTCAAACACAACTGTAGGCTGTCCTGAGTTAGGACTATACTAGACAAAGAGAACAACATGCAGAAATTCTCCTCCTGGACCAGTAAAGCCAATAGCAACAGAACAAGAGATATTGAACTTTCATTATGAAACTTTCATAAATGCATTGTCTTGTCGCTTAGTACCCCGCTACTGATTGAAGAATGGAACCAAGTCATCTCTGAGGCTCTTTCCACACAGTCCTCCAGGACAGGACAGGCCAAGCAAGAAAACACAGGTTGGGTTTATCAGACAGCAGCACATTCTCACTGGTGGGACCCCACAATGGAGCATATCTCCAGAAGACATTAGACTGAGTTTAGCCCTGGTACTCGGATCAGTTAAGAAATACAATCTTATTTGGTTTGGTTTGGTTTGGTTTAGTTTGATTTAGTTTTCACCCCAAAAGATTCAGCCATTAGTTTATGAATAAACTTTTCATTTGATAGTAGGTTTTCAATTCTGTTGCACAGTGAGTCAGATCTGGACTAAATCAAAAGTATAGAATTAAGAATTGCAGTATCTAAATGTGAGAGCCTAAAGAAAGACTGTATCCCACATAATCACTGCAGACAGCTCTGAAAACCTTCAGAAGGCAATTTAGACCTATTAACTAAGTAGCTACCCGTCTTTGCTGACTGTGTGGTAAATTCAGCTTCCCACTGCTGCTACAGAGCCAAGGAAGCCCCCCAAAGCCGTCAGAAGCAAATGTCATCTCCAAATGAAGATACTCACCCATGATAAGGGTGGTCCAAGATCCGAGATGTTGTTTTATAGGAAATGGTTGTGCATTACTTGTAAAAATAAAGTCATGGTACTGGGAACAAATTCCTTCAGGTTTGCTCCTTCCTAAGTAGATGAGCTTGCTATGGGTGCAGTCAGCCAGCCTCCTGTGTCCTGTGCTCTCACCCTGCTGCAGTAGAAGAGGAGCACAGGGCATTAAGGATGAGATTATTATGAAAAATGTGACAACATTTTGGGTTGAAATCAGTGCAGTGCTATGAAGTTAAGGTGTCTAAATTCTCTATTCTCCCTAGGAAGTCATGTGGAATTTATATAAGGGGGGGATTTAGTCACCCTAGTTCTGGATATTTTTAAGCAAACACATGCATTAACTTCATGGGTATCTCAGACACTAGGGTTAAATGAATGAGTTCCTTATGTTCCTGGAGAGCTAGCTGGTGCTATTAAATAGGATCGTGTTGGAGAGCTCCCAAAACAAGGCAACACTTTTGGAATTTTCTAGGAAGGTACAAACTCATGTTTTGAATTTGGTGTTTGGCACATCTGCATTACCATCCAGGCTAATTATTGTTTATCCTGCTTCATCCCCACTATAAGTTTGATTCTTCCATGTCTTCCTTTTGGTACAACAATAATTCTTACTGTCTGATTAAGCTGCATGAAATAATCTTCTCTGAGGTGGAGCACATAATTTTCTGATTCATTTTGTACTAATGAGAAGGAAATGAAGAGAATGAGCATTGAAACACATGGCTAAAAGTTTTGACAGTGGGCATGCCAAATGGTAGAAACGCAGGGGATAATCAGTTCCATAATATCAAGTGGATAAGCACTAAATGAAACTCAAAAGCTGTTCTTTTGGCCAAATAGGCATTACATGTGCTTCTGTCTCCAGAATTGAAGAAGTTTTCTGCATGAAATAAACTAAGTTAGAGGAAAGTTAGTAAGAAAAAATACCTGGAAGGAACGACAGTCCCATTTTTCCCTTGGCTAGTTTGGATGGGCTGATGAAAATTTCCTCTCAAAGCCCTGATGATGGGAGGAAGGGACCAACCTGCATTAGGGGAGGGGAAAAAGCCCTCAAAGTGAGGATTAACAGAACAGAAATGTATACTCTGTGTTTAAAGCTCTTGTCCTAAATAGTTGTCCTTTGCCTTAGGTGTCTGCTTTGTTAGCTCTATGAGAGCAGAGGACTATCACCTACACCATATTTACTAGGGGATAATGGACACCATAAGTGCCTGAGATCAGGAGAAGAGCACAGGATCCATCCCAGAGGGGTCAGAGCTGGAGGAGAAGTACTTGTGCTGAGTGGCTTCAGAAAGCTTTAGAAGGAAGATATTGCTGTTTCCATTTTAACTTGACTTGTGAAAAGAGCTCTTGAATCTATTGAATGAAGCATAAAAAGATGTGGTGACTGGAAACTGAAATTCAGGCTATAAATAAAGTGCTGTTTTTCAGAGGGAGGGTAGCCATTGATCACACAGGTCCCCGATATGCCTTGTGCAGTCTCCACCACTGATGCAACGGTCTGTTGGGAAGCTGTGAAGTGAATTCAGAGAAGGTCTCTCTTCTGCAGGGTGTCACACTAAATGATTTGTTCTTTTATTAGATAGAACTTCAATTTCCATTTCCCAAAATCTTGACAAGAGATTGTTAGTAATGCCTCCCTCAGGTCTTCTCTTTGCAATTTCCTTCCGTTGCTGTTCGCAAAGCATTTGAAGAGTCGCCTGGACAATAAACTCTGTGGTGGAGGTTTTTGAATATTCCCTCAGAGGTTTTTGAATCTTTCTCTGATTAAATCTCAGTATTTTTTTTTAATAAAATGACTGTCCTAGATTATTAATTACCTTGGAATTCCTCAGCATTTACTTTTAAGTTCCAGGCAGTTCATAAGTGTTCAGTATTAGAAAGCGTTTCATCCTTCAATATCTGGCAACAAAAATGAGCTACTGGAGAAACTTTCAGTTTAGCTTTTGACTTTCTTTTCCTTCTCTTTAGTCTAAGGAACCTCCAAGGAACTCTTCCAGAAAATATGTTTCTTACTGCAGTAATAAAAGAAGTAAAACACTACTGGAACTTAATAGTGGCCAATAAGGAATGAGTGTTTCAATGTGTTCTTCACACTCTGGTATTGTTCTTAACCTTTAGAAAAATCAACCTACCTGCAATTATGCATAGCAAATCATATAAGCCTGAAGGACTAGACTAATGACTTGCCTACCAAGGATCTCCAAAGGGATCTGTATTCTTGCTCTCAGTCTTTGATGCGGTACATGAAGAACTGAATTCCTTACAGCCATCAGTCCACCATTAGGTTTTCATTCATGCTGGTAATCTCCCTGAAATAGAAAATGTGAAGGTTAAAAAAAGAGGGAGAAAGAAAGACTAATTCTTTTATGACATAGTAAATAAGCATGACTACTGCAGTTTTTACCAGTGCCTCATGCATTGCAATGCATTGAAATAATCACTAAAAACTGAGTCTATCAGAAGACACTGCATAAAATTAATAAAGAAGAGACTCAAGAGCTTGTGAAGATATTCTTTCAAGAGGATGTTTGGGGAACCGGGTTTGAAATTTGTGGCTATATTTTGCATTTGCATTTATAATATAAATATATTGTCAGCTTAGTGCTTCTGAAGTTTTTTGTCCATCAAAGCTAAATTTAAGCATTCTGCTTGTTGAAATAACAGTAACATATTATATGCAGTGCAAGATGCCAGAACTGGAGCCTTTTGCAGACTGCACATGCTGAACCTCACTATGGCCTGTTCACTCCATTGCAGTTCTGCAATACAGAGGATTACATGGGAGAAACTGCCTTGCTACCCAGCCTGCCAGTGGCTAAATTCCTTTGCAAAAGGAGTTATCTGTAGTTCTATTAAAAAAAACACAAACAGTTCTAACAAAAAACATGAGTATGACAAAGATTTCCCTAGTTTAGGTCTTCAATTTTTTATTTTTTTTTTTTATTTTTGAATATTGCATACAAAAGAATAGAATGGAAAGAATTAATTATAAGCAATGTTTGAGATTGTCAGACTAAAAAATATATCATACAGTATAAGTCTATATGTTATTTGTCAATCCTGTTGTGATTCTCCAAGCTGCAGCTAAAATGGCTGGCTTGGAGATTGTCTTGTGGATTTTGAAAGACAAAGAAGATTATCAACTCAGCAGAAAAAATCTTTTTCAAGGGAGGAAAAACACTGTGTTTGTTTAGAGTTAAGCACAGCAGAAACATCCATCCTTACTTCTGAGACAGCTTAGATTTGCTTGTGAAAGGTACATTTTGAGAAAAATAAGAACAAGCAGAATGTGAATAGACTAAATATTCAGGTATTTCTGACCAAGAAGAAAAGCTGGTTAACCTATGCCTTCATCTCACTTCCTATCTGCTCTCATAGGATCAGACTGCAACCATCTTTGCAAATTGCCAAGGACAAGCATTCTGTCAGGTTTTGATAAAATAAGAGAAGATTGAGATGAAGCCATCTGACACATAGCATATATCACTATATTTCTTCTGAGTCACATTGGACATCTTCAGATCTGCAAAAGAAGACTGCAAGAAGAATATTCACACCTGAAAATATGAAACAATTATTTATTGGCAAACAAACACAAAAAATATCTGGGATTCAAGGACCCTGGTGATACTCACCATTCCACAAGGCATCTCAGAGCCTTTGCTGGTAGGGCAGGAGTGGAAGTGTTGGCCTCTACAGCTGCTGGGCTCAGTCCTCAATAGTGCTGCCTTGCCATCTCTCATTGACACAAAACCTCTCAACACCGATGACCAGGCATTTCAGTACAGTGATCCAACTGGACAAGTACCGTGATCAAGGGAGGTTGCAGAGAGGCATACAAAGGGAGGGGTTACCTATGGAGCGTGGAATAGCAGTGAGATGGCTACAGAACCATGGTCCTCAGCTCCTCTCCCTGTCCTTTTCTCTGGATAAATCCACATGTAGCATACCTTGCAGAGGCAACTCTGTGAACTTTACTATTACATTATTAAAATCCATGTTTTCTGGTTATGACGTAGCTGCAGTATTATAGCAAGCATTAAAATGTTTATTTAAATGTAACAATCCTTGCAGTATCTGGTTTCCCAAACTATGAGACCAGAAGCATACTGAACCTGAAAAACAGAGCAGGAGAAGTGTTAGAGTTATATATAACCATATCAGTTCTGATAACGGGAGGCAAACCTCCTTCCCCTCACTAGATTGGTTACACTTTCATACTCTTAAGACATTTTATGAAGAAGCGGAGCTCTCACTTGGGACCCAACACTAAAAAACATAGCCTCCTACAAAGTGCTACATTCCATTACCAGAGCTTTTCCCACTGTAGCTCCCTAAGGCACCATATTGTGGTAGTTGGTACATCAAATGAGGCTGCCAGAAATTAGTCTCAAATAAAAAAAGAGACTCTTCTTGCAGGTGGTGTTGCAGTTGAGGGGCAGAATTCCTCACCACGAGTCATGGATGGTAAAATCTTACATGGCTTCAAGGAGAGGCTTGAGAATTTCACGGAAGAGAAATGCACCAGGAGTTGCTAATTTCATGGAAACAACTCCCAGTTCAGGAGGTGCCTGAAGGGCAGATGGTAATGGGCTGAGAGAATCATCAGAAAAATACTATATGTATTTGTTCCCATAGAGTGCCCCAAGCTTTTTGACCACTACTGGAAAGCAGATGATTTGACCCACTGTAGATATTCTTATGTAAGATAAGCAAAAACATGTGTACATGTACATGTGATTAATGGCAAAATGTGAATTGTATCGTTACATATGCTCTGCTTTTCTTTCACATGAACTTTTTAAAAATGGTGGAATAAATTAGACTGCAAAGGAAACATTTATACAAAGCATAGAATAGGAGGTGTAGACCATTAGGATATTCAAGTTTTTGGTCTCTGTGTCTATTGTCAAGATTTGAAATGGCTTTTTCTACACCTTTTTATGCCAGGCCAGCACTGCAGTCTCTCTTTGTGCTCTTATTAAAGTCAACTTCTTGTTTAATTGTAGATAAAGGTGATGCCAAATCTGATTCAGTTCAAGCAGCACAGATAAAAGCTGTCAAAAGTCTCAGATCTGGGCCTGTCATTCTGAGGCAGCTCTGATGTGGTTTTTTATTGCCTGTACCCCCTGCAACCTTCAGAGGCACAGGGAAATAGCATGCTGCTGCTTCGCTCTGCCAGTCTGGCTCCTAAAATCTGACCTTGACAGGGAGAGAAAAGGAAAACTAAAAACTATGCCAATCACCAATACTGGGATAAACTGAATCAAAAGACAAAGATGTAAGGGAATACAATGCATATGAACTTGCCAGCAGAACTCAAATCTAAAAAAAGGTGGGGGCCAAAAGTTGACAAAACCCATTAAAACAGCAATTCTAAGACAGGTGCCCCTGCTTAGGGGCGCACACATACACCCCTGTGCAGGTGTATGTGGCATGTGATGAAGAGGTATATAAAAATCCTGTGCACAGTCCTCAGACGTCTGTCAAAAAATTAATCTTCCCATGGTGAAAAAGAAATTGCTTAAAAATAGATTTAGGTAAAGAAAATAATGAAATGTTTGGAAATTTATTTAATGAGACAGTTTCTGAAGTACAGCACAAAACAAAGATTATATAAAGGATGTCAAGATAATAAATTGTACTCAAATTCTTCTCACACTTCTGAGTCATTTAGCCTGCTGTCCTTTAGAACTGTCACTTGAACAAAAGCAACTGAAATGAACTAATTTGGTAACTTATCTCATCTGTCTTTCTTTGGGAAGCATTCCTTTTCTCCATAAGTCTCTAACAGCAGGCTAAAAGGAGAGACAAATACAAGTGAAAATGCAACAAGAAAGACAACTAGGTTTTTTCCATGAGCTGAAACTTTGAGAAATCTATTCCAGGCACAGTTGCTGGAACCACATGTACACCACATGTATTTGATATTCCGCTCATAATTTAAAGGAAAGTCATGGAAATTATTTCTCTTATGGGAGAATCCAATTTGAGAATCCAACAACACAACTACAACACAACAAGAATATAGCACAACAACATTATGAAAGAATGCCCAAACTTGCCTGGCTACCAGAAGTCATCCAGCAGCCTTAGAATGACTCCTCCTTGAAGCATCACTGACAAATTGAGGAGCAAGTTGTTTCATCTTTGGGTGCCTCCACCCCCTGTGCACAAATAATGCAATTATTTGCTGACCTCTGACCACTGAGTCTGGAAATGTGTTGAGGCTGTCAGTACTCTCTTACTGTGTGCACAATGGCATTGAAGTCTCAGCAGGAGGCTCCTAGTGCTATGTAGCACAAACAGATAATAATAATAATAATAGCTAACATGTCTAATGAGTGATTGCTTCACAGGCATCAGGCTCATCCATCCCTGTGTGCCTGTCTGAATAGATGTGTGCCTATTAACTCATCCATCAGGTTATCTTTTTCTTACATTCTTGAAGAACCCATGATTGTATCTCATTTTTCAAATAATTATTTGCTGTTCTTTTCTTAGCAATCACCTGGATTAGGACAGGCACTTGAACGGAATTTAGTAGGCTTCCTTCGTTACCCAACCTGGGTACACTCATGCTTCCAGCATTCTGAAAAAGTTTAACAGATTGAGGCATGTATGAAAGTTGCATGAAGACCTGAACTTCAATGGGATTTTCAGAGCAGATGTCATTGTGTCAAACTCTCCAACAGACAAGTAGACCTGGAGCTCAACACAATAGACTTACTTCAGAATAGAACTGAAAACGGGATTGTATGTGGGGCATCTGGACTAAGGTGCTCTGAAATGTAATATACCCTAAACCAATCAAAATGAGATTAGTGGAGATTTTAAGAACTCACAGAAATATATAGAGGATTATTTGACAACGCTATCATCCACAGAAAGGGCTAGGGAAAACTAAGCAACAATATTCTCAAACGGTGTTGCCATAACTCAATGTTTTAACATGAAACAAGAAATGTAAAGCTTCAGCTTTGGTATTCAGGCTATTCTGAGGCATCTCCAATGTCTTTTCCTCTGTCTCTTTCTTTTTGGCATTTCTGAATGTTTCACATTTTCCATAAGGCTGTGGAGAAAAATAATTGAATTATAATTCTCAAATTATTAATTTATTATTATTTATTAATCTCTTCAGTTTAAATAGAAGCTGGCAGATTTTCTGAGCCAGGATCATAACTTTTGAATACTTAGAAGTTTCCCATGAAGCTGACCTTTTTTTACAATTTTGACAGAAACCATAGAGCTCTGGAGTACAGCTGAAGTGTACTAAACCACTCAAGTCTATTTGCACACAAACAGTTAAAACTTGCTAAGAAAAAAAAAGAAAGTTAGTCAAAACAAAGAACAAGGGGGGAGCTAGTATGAACACAGATAGATTAACATACATGTCAATATTTGAGATTCTCCCATTTTATTATTATGGACAGTAGTGCAAAATTAGACACCCAAGGCAGTAAAAAAAAAAAAAAGTTGATTTGCTGAAAAATTAGGTAATACAAAAAAGAAAAACTGTCTTTTAGGGAAGAAATAATTTTCCCTAATTTAAACCATTTAACACTTTAACTGTTTAAACTTTAAGCATCTTCTTTCATTATAATTACCTAGTTTCCTGTTAGTCGGTGGAAAGAAATATATTACAGCCAAATTTATTTTATCTCACATATCTTGAACAATGCTCTGGGATGACTACTTTGAGAAGCTCTGGTCTCTCTTTTCACTGTAAGGGAATTTGGACAGTCTGCCTTATACTAGGCATACATACTTTGGACAATTAATATTAGTTGAGATGAATTTCACTCTCACATGGAGGGAAATTATAGAAAAAAAGCACCAATACAGTTTTAAGAATAATGAAAATAAGAAAGACAAGTCAAAGATATAAAATTATATAAAATCTTTTTTTTACAGTTTTTAAATGGTATTTGACGACTTTTAGAAAGCCTCTGTTTTAACATCCTAGTAATATAGACAGGCTTTTTCTCCGAAGAATTTCTAAAATGTCAGCTTTTCTCTCTTGCATGTGGTGAATTTAGGCATTTTTAGGATAACTGATTCATTAAATTTGGAAGTCCAAGTCAGGTGTTTAAGTTTGAAGGATGAATTAGATTGCACAGCTTTGAAACAAATTTTGAATGAAAAAATGATGAAACACACTGTGATACATAAAATTAAATTATGTCAAGCAATTCTGAATTTTCTTTAAAAAATAAAATTATTTCTTAAATTAAATATAGAAGGCATTTTACATTAAGAATATCACAGTGCGATTGAAGAACAAGAGAACTAATTGTAATGTGGATAATATATTAGTGTAACTAACTGAAGGTAGGAGGAGAACTCCTCAAAGACGAAATGAAAATGGTGTTCTCCAGAGGATAAATCACCAGAGAAAGGCAACAGTGAGGATTCTAAAAAATTGCTCATAGGAGTAATTTATTTATATTTTCATTAATTTTCTGAGTGCAAAACCAAGTCTGTGATGACAAAACTTTCTTCTAGCATGACTTTGTCAATAAATAACCAGGTCAGGAAGAACAGCATGATGTTGGGGACTGCAGTGGTGAAAATGGGATTAAATTTAATGGTGTATAAAATGGAAGACTGTGTGCTTAAGGACTCATAAGAAGATTTCTACAGTAATAAAGAATTCATCAGCTGAAGCTGAATGAGGCATAGAAATGGTGTTATGTGAGCACAGGTATCTTCTGAGATACCACAGAGAAGTGGGGAAAAAAAAAGTAAAGGTTTTCCTAAGACATTTTGGGAGAGGTACTTCCAGCAGAGGCTACTCGCCTATTTTACCTGCATGGCAGACTGAAGTTCAGTGCAGGTAAAAAGAATGTTGACAGCTTTTCTGAGAAGTATTAATGGTTTTTGTGGCTTTTTTGAGACTTCTTCTGGTGTTCTGCAAATGCCTGTGTTCACCCCTTGGCAGTGCTGAAGGAAGATGTGGCATATGCTATGGGATGAACATATATTTAAACCAAAGCACAGTATTACAGGGAGGAAAAAAAAAACCAAAAAAGCCCACATGGATATATACTGAGCAGGAATGCATTTAGACTCAAAATAATAAAAGTTAAAAAAAAATCCTTATCATTATTACACACAATTAATGAGACTTTCGAGAGAAGTCATCTAACTAGTTTCAAGGTAGAGCTCAATTGCTTTCTGAGAAAGATGATGCAATGATGATATAATCCAAGCAAGGGACTGAACTCACTGATTTAAGAACTTACTTCCAGTTGTCTGTCGCAAACACATGCACTGCTTACAGAAAATAGTGCAGAACGACCAGTTTAGGAGTAACAGGCTGTTTTCTAGAACATTTTATTACAAAATTTGTAAAGATTCTATGAGAAAAAGAAAAGTGTCTTTATTTCCATTTGTGGAGGAATAAAATGAGGCATATACAGATAAAATGTCTTTCCTTAGTCACGCACCAGGTATAGAAGATAGAATAAGTTTCTTTAATTCCTGTATAGATGCAGTACAGTGACTCTCTACAGTTGAAAATTAGTGTGAAAGGAGATGTTTGTTTGTTTTTTTTATTAAAAATAGCTATTTTTAAGCAACAAGCTTATAATTAGAAAGAGGTACATACCATGGCAATTTTCCTTTTGGAGATTAATATAAAAGAGTAGGGCTGTTTCCTAGGAAATTGTGCATTTTTGCATTTGGGTATGCCTCCAGGTGTGAAACAGTGTTATTTGGAGAGCAATAAATTAACAGATCTCTATGTTCCTGAATTCAAATAGGAAAGTGCAATCTTGCAGCTAACTTGCTTTCAAACTTGAGTTAATTCTTAGTGTGGTCCTGCCCATTGGCAAACCAAGTAACTCTGTGTGTTGCTCTGAGCTGACTCACATCTGATACCTGGGTATCTGCCCTGGATACTCCCAGATATGAAGGTCTAGAGATAGTATGAATGGGGTCATATGTAAACATTGCCTTAAGATCATCCCAGACCATAATGACTCTTCTTTTGTTCACCTGACTTTGGCTTTTTTTTGCAGGATAAATTCAAATTATTCAAACAATCTGTTCTAATACTGATTTTTCAAAAGTTTGCTTTACCATGCTAGATTGACAGTGAAAAAAGGAAACACTAGTCACAAGATGAACAGATGTTATTTACTCTGAATTTGTTGTGTAGACGTGCTGTCTGTTCAGATTAGCTGGATTGTAATTGCCTCTAATTCAGTTTCATCTATGTTTTCAAAATTGTGTTCATTCCAATAGACTATTCCATCATTTTCAGTGACAGACTTACGTAAAAGTATTTCTCTTCAACCAAGCAAATTGAACTTCGTGATAAATTACTTTATTACTTTTTAAACAAGAAGATGTCAAGTATAAAGGGGATTACCCGGCAGGGTATATATGTATTAGATACTGCTCAGTGGCTCTCACACTTGATAAATTTGCAGATTTAGAAAATAATACATTTTACTGAATATAAGCAAAATGTTTCCAAATATAACAAAGCATTGATCTGCAGCCTGAAGTGTTTAAATTATTTTTACAGCTCTGAGATATGAAATATAAAGTATGCATATAATTCATACAGGAAGATTGGATTAGATCAGAAAAATCCTGTCTTTTTAACTGCATTAATTCTTTGATATGAATAAACCAAGTGAACTAATAATGAAGTAATTTCAATACTGTTGTTGCTTTATCCTCCAACAGTTTTATCTGGACAATTGCTGGATTTTCAGGTACATTAGTTTTCCATTTATTTGGCTTTAAACCATTCACAGTCTCTGAGGAATGTCACATAGCTGGCAAAAGAATAAAAAAAAATTTCAAAAATAACGTTTAACATATCAAATATCCTAGAATTCCTTAGGCACCTGGATTGCTAACCTTAACTTCAGCCTATAGTAAATTTCCAGAATAAAGTGAATGTAGCCCTGGTATATAAGGACCTGGAAAACGTAGCAAAGAAATAAATTCAGTTCCCTGTCCTATCTACAAGAGAAATTTACTGTCCTGGTTGCAAGCTTTGCCTGACCTGAGGGTTAGAAATGAAGAATGTAGCAGTCCTGACAGGTGTTAGCTTACTGGATATTAATTGTGCCCTATGGATAGAAAGAGGGGGTTTTCTCTGTGTTATATTGTGTTCTAGAGTGGGGAATGATTCCCTATGTTTCTGGACATATTGTGTTACGATGAGCACTGTGGTAATTTCTGAGCAATTTCATGCTACAAGAAGCTAGAGGACTAAGGATGTTGAATGACTTTTAGAGACAAGAAGGGATAGGTAACACCATTTACGTGGCACTCCGTGATCTTTTACAGTGATGCAGTACTCATACTGGGAACTTAATCGTTCTGGGTTAGGGCTAAGGAAAGTCCAGGCGAGTAGCAGACTGGGGGCCTCAAACTGAGTGGCTGACAGGAAAAGGCCTGCTTCGTTCTTTCTCTTTCAGTGTTATATGACCTCTTCCAATGCCTATGGTACTCTGGCTTCAGAGCATATCAGAGTAGCATCAGGCAGTTATCGCTGAGAAGTCTCATCTAGGGAGCTAATACATTGCCTCTCTCATCATTGATTGACTGGAAAGACAAGAACCAAGGCTGTTGTAAGAGACCATGGAATACCAGCTAAAAAGAACAATTCCTTACCTAAAAAGCTGAATAATATTTTTAAGCCACTGGTCTCTTAGCCCTTTACTCTCCCTGTGATCTTAAATGTATTGCACTTTTGTGACATACTATGCAGATTTTGTGTCAGTTTTTTGCTTGTTTTCCCTTTAACATTAGCTTAAATGTTTGATTGCATCTAAACTGCATCGTATCTATTATTTATGTAAGCACAAAGGCAGTAATTTTGTTTTCAAAATTTGATCAGAAATAGTAAATTTCATAGGGAATTTTCAACCAAGATTAAAACATATTTGAATGCAAAATAAAGACACACAATCAATTATGTACTTAAGGAATATGCAAGTATCTTGGATCTTATATTCAAATGCTGTCACAATGCTGAGCCCTTCTTATAAATATACAATGATAATTGTGCCTGTGAACATCTTGCATTTCACCAGTATTCCAAAATGGAAAATATCAGCACTCAGGAAAACTGTTATGAATTTATAACTCTGCCTATAAAACTTCAAGTCTGTGAACAAATAAATGGAGCTTGTATTCAGAATCCATAATTTTGCCAAAAGATTTTTCTTGGAAAGCAGATTTTTACACATTTTCACCAGGTACCTTCAAGCAGAAAATAAGCCTTCTTATTTCTTTGATCCTAAAAAATTGTAGCTTTCCACTTGGCTTCACAGCCCCATCTAAATTCACAAATAATCTTTATGTAGCTACTTATTCTTAAATGATGTACCTGGTAGTGATTTACAGTCCATCCCACAGTCAGCAGGCAGCAGCCCCTGACCGGTGGTATTCCTGTATCTGTCCCAGGACATAGGAGGACCCTAGTACCAAGGAGCATCCTAAAATTAACCATCAGAATTCATATTATTATCTAGATTATTATTTCATGTTTCTATAAATAGCTATTAGTCCAAAGCCAAACCTACATAAACACAATAAGAAGGATAACAGAATCTTTTCATTCGTAAGGGCTATATTTAATTATAAATGTACTGGGAAGTTTTTTGACTGGTATACTGGATTTCCATGTCTATCATATTTTGGCTAGATTGTTTCAAATCCAGTATTAGAGCCAAATAGTCTTCCTCTGTATGTCTGAGAAAGCTCTTAGACTTCTTTTACATGAGGACAAAGGGTGTTTTAGACTGCTTACTTGCTGTCTCAGAAAATACAGCTCTTCTGTAAGAAGTAAAAAAAGTGTGTTTTCCCCAGCACAAGTCTGCTGTTCACTGAAGACAATAAAGCCCTCTCTGTGCAGCCTTAGGATCATATGGAAGCACCTATTTCTTACCTCCACCTCCTTCACCCTGGTAGGGAGGGCTAATTAACCACCAAGATGTGGCTCTGCCCTCAGTTCTTCAAGAAGGTTGTGTTGAAGTCTGGCCAGCAGATCTCACTGTCTTGGGCACTGGGGTGTGCTCTGCATCTGCTGCTGTGCCAAGTAACTTCTGTGTCATCACAGGCTAGTACAGGTTTGCATTGTTTTCCCTTTGCTGAAAAAGAACCAAACAAAACCGGCTTATATCTTCATAAAACTGGCATAAGGGAGTAGCTAAGCAGGCTGGTTAACTCCCAGGCTAGTTAACTCTTGTGTGACCAGACAACTCTTTACTAATAATTATTCCAGACAAGGGAACTTCATAGCATAGTAATAACAGCAAATTAAGATCTCTGAAAGAAGCAATGGTACCAAGTGCAGTTTACTCCAAAAGATTGAAATGAGCAGTATGATCTCCAGGAGGACATACTTCCAGGGGATTGTGAGCAGCACTGTGACCCATGCAGGGAGTGAGCAGCAAAGTCACCTTTGGTTGGAGTAACCAACTCAGAAAGGTATGTGTGATGGTTTCACTCTAGGCCTTCCTGGAGACCAGCTTGTAACCAGGAAGGAACTAGGAAGGTGATCAGGGAAGTATTCCATGCTATTCCTTTACGTAACCTGAGGTATGAATAAAGCCAGCAGGAGGGACCTTGCGCCCTTCCTTTCCGGCAAGGTTCGAGAACGGTGGGTCCCTGTCTCGGTCTGGCTTATCTGGAGCCGAGGTCTACAGTGACTGCTGTTATCTGCCACCCATGAGGGGAGAGCACTGGGCCGTGTCCAGCCATCCTGCCTGTTCGAAGGGAAGTGGTGAGATTTTGCTAATTTACCTTCAGTTGGCTGGTTGACTTGTTTGGTCTTTGTCCCTTTTTGTCCTTTTCCCTTCTCCCTCCCCCTCTTCCCTTTTTGGGGAGCTGTTTGGGATTTCTGGAGTTGTGGTATATAGTATTCTTATTGTATATATCTGTCTCATATGTAAAATATATATATATTTTTGCTATAGCTTTGGCTGCTTAGGTTGTTTTTTTTTCTCTTCCCTCTCTGGGAAGCAGGTCCTTGTTGTCGAGTTTCAGGGAGTTGGCGGGAAGCCAGCTCGAAACTTGCACAGTATGCCAGCAAATAGAGGTCACATCTCAACAGCATAGACTCGGGTATATGAAATGAGACGTTCAATTTTGACATTTTGGTCATAGAAACGGTTAATTTAAGTGAACATGCTCAAAATGTTTGAGCATGAAATGTTTGAAGAAAGTAGAGGAAAGAGGTAACAAATGAGATCTTCTGGCTGGGGTGGTTGTGCCTGTTGTGAGGACAGAAATTACCACACAACACCTCTAGATAAAATGCTGAGAGGACTCCAGAACAGGACTGTGGTACAGACAATGTTGAAGGGGTGCATCAGGTCAATTGTGTTCTGCCTGAGTCAGTGCTGGAATACTGTGCTTGTAGCCTATAAAAGTCACTATTCTCTCTCACTATTTACCTCACAAAGTGAAAAAGAGCAATAAAAAGCAACTATCAATTTTTCTGTCTCTGAAGATTGCCTCTGGTGGAGCAATTCTAGGGCTTTGCCTAGATGTCTAAAGATGATCTGACTGAAATTAAGGTTGAAGTAGTTTTCTAGCAACAGGATAAATAGAGAGTATAAATAAAAAATCTCATTTGTGTGCACAAAAAGGAATGTTACATATTTGCACTTTCTTCACTGTAGAACTTGTAATTTTTAAGACTTAATTTTTTAAAATTATTTTAATATTTGTTATTTTTATATTTTATTTTTTTTTTACATTTTCCAAGTAAGATATATTTCATTCATATATTCACCTAAACTTAATTGGTGGGGAAAGGTAAACTTTTCATGAAAATAATGGAAAGCTTTTCACTAGGCAATAAGATTTCTGTTGTTTTTAACAGATTTGAAATTAAGCTTATTATACTTTAATTTATATAACAATAAAAATATTTATTGTTTGTTCAACTTTAACAAAATACTGAGTGTCTCAAGGTTGATTGATTTTTTTTTTTCCTTTTTTGAGACCATCCTGCAGTCAAGTATTATTTTCCTGAAAGCCAGTTTCTTTAAATTTCACCATGCTTTCTATAACATCTAGGAACATTTCAATGTATTCTCCTAAGCGACTTTGTCAAACAATGTTTCTGACAATTTTCCATTTGAGTATACTTATTTAGGCTTTAGCTTCTCAACAGCAAATTGTGATAGTTTTCACCCTAGGCCTTCCTGTAGACCAGAACTAGAAAGGTGACCCAGGAAGTATTCCATGCTATTCCTTTATGTAACATGAGGTATAAATAAGCCGACCGGAGAGATCTTAGCTCTCTTCTGGAGAGGTTCGAGAACAGTAGATCTGTGCATGGTCTTGCTTATCTGAAGTTGAGGCCTGTATCGACTGCTGTTGTCTGCCACACGTGAGGGGAGAGTGCTGGGCCGCGTCCAGCCATCCTGCTTCTCTCAAGGGAAGTGGTGAGATTTTGCAAGTTCTTTATTTTGCTGGTTACTGGGTTTTTAGATTGCGTATACCTGTTTTGTTTCTGTCCCTTTTTGTCCTGTTTTGTCCTTTTCCCCTTCTCCCTTCCCCTCTTCCCTTTTAAGAAGCTATTTAAGGTTTCTGGGGTTATAGCTATATAGTATTCTCACTGTATATATCTGTTTTATATGTAAAATATATTTTTGCTATAGCTTTGGTTGTTTGGGTTTTTTTTCTCCCCTCTCTGGGAAGCAAGGCTGTGTTGTTGAGTTTTGGAGACTTGGCGGGAAGCCAGCTCCAAACTTGCACACAAATTTATCTTCTTCTCCTTCAGTCTTTGATTTCTTCTACACAGATATATTGAAATTATTTTTCTCGATGCAACCTATCAACTCTTAACTCCTATTTTTTCTACCTACCCAGTTCTTTCTCTTTGTCCAGTTTTGAGCAGGTAGGATGCAGGATGGGCAGAAGACTTTTGGGTCAATTTTCTCACTCTCTGCTCTCTCCGAGCATTAGCAGAACTAACTCTCATATGTCTACCATGAACAAATGAACATCTCTTTATCTATGCTCTCTCACTTGCACTGTAATAGGAGCGGTTTCATAATGCATGAATGATTCAATATTAACTGGTCTAGAAGCTGACTGTAGTCTCAGTTCTCATGGCACAACTTTTGACAAAACAGTTGCTATTAGACCCCACATTCACAGAGACTGTGTTGCTGTGGTTTTGGGTACCCTCATTGCAGAGGAATTTGGACTGGATGATCTTTAAAGGTCCCTTCCAACTCAAACCATTTTATGATTCAATGATAATGTTGATTCATCTGAAATATCTACTGTTCTGGGCAGAAGAGTCACATAAAATCATGTTACTCAGTTATTTTATTTTCTGCTACTCCAGATCTAAACAATGAAGCTGCCTCCAAACGGTTCTAGTATTCCTAAGGGCAGGCCAATGATTTTGACTTTAGTGCTGAGGTTTTTTTAAAAAGACTAAAGCTTTAAGTATTCTCGCAACCAGAAATGCTTTTGAATGTGCTCGTGAAGGAAAGGAACACAAGGCCCCAGATACTTCTTGGGACAATATTTGAGATGATAATGTACGTCTGCTAAACTGCCTGCCTTCAGTATCACATCTCAACAACAGAAACAATGGATCTAAATATCTCACTAACAGAAACAGGAGTGCATGCAAAGGCAGATGGTGCACCTTTAAAACACCTAGACAGTGCTCCCAGTGAAGTCATTCCAACACATGCTCAGATATGGAACATTAAAACACCATTGGCAGATCCAGATGTATTTTATCTTGGCCTTGAAGATTCTTTTCCTTCACATCCCTAAGTAACTACAATGTTTTGAGAGCTCCAAAACTGAGCAAATAGAGAGATTAACCAAGGTTATTTTACTTCTCTGCCTTCCCAGATATGCCAGGCTGGGTATATGCCCATGTGTGAGAGGCTACCGCCGCCCACATATCCATGAGGGTCTGAGGTGAGTGGCACAGGCATTGGTTGGTGCTCTCTGCTGTGAGACAATCTGCACAACAGTGAAAATACTGAGTTGTGGCTTCTCAAACACCACCTCACATGCCCTGTTCCTGTTCTCGTGCAGAGAAGGTAGCCATTTTTTAAGAGAAGAAGTTAAGAACACCCTTATGAACTTCACTGAATATCTCACAAGCCATGAATGGCCTGCAATTTTTCTAAGGAAATCATAAACTTTTTCAACACACCTGTCTGAGAAAGAACAATTTAGAAATAAACTGATCTTTTATTTCTATGATTCGAACTGATGAATTTGACTAAAAAGGGTTTGAAATCTTTTTGGCACTCAAACAGCAGCAAATTTGTTAGAAAAAAAACCAATTTTTGTAAACCTTTCCAGTCAATGGCTCATGATAAGATTCACATTGCTTTTTAATCTTGTTTATTTTTATACTATCCTCTTTTCAGTTATCTTTAGGCTTAATTTTGCTCCTTTTTATTAAGTCCATTTTCATAACAAATGTTATTTCATCTTTATAGGCAAGATTTTATGATATCCTGACTCTTACTGGTGTGTAAATAGTATGGTTATGTCACTGTTGAATTAATTATTTTTAGTTCATATTGAAGTAATGAATGAAAATTTGGATCACAAATAAGAGGGAATCAATGTGGGGAAAGAATGCCACCAGAAAAATGTTTAGTCACCATGAGACCCTGGAGTATTTTCCATGAAGTGTGATTATACAAATGCAAGGCAATGAAATGGGGTTTGTTTGTACCAAAAAAAGATATTACCAGAATCATGATAAAGATGGGATCACTTCTTGAGGCATTCCTCAATGGGAACAAAAAGTGACAAGACATGCTAAAAACGTGAAATGTTATGTGAAATGGAGTTATTCTCTCATAGAGCATTACTCAAGAAACATTAAAACTGTTTCCTTGTACAGATCTTTCATCGTTTAGGTAACAAAGTGCAGGAGTATTCTAATAGCAAAAGCCTGATATAGCCATTAATAGTGATTAGGGAGAGGTGGTACTCTTAGGGTCCTGTAATGTGGGGTGAAAATGTCATCAGTTACAGTGTAAAACAGCCTTGAACGAACTTTGATATTTGGCCTAATGATCATGGCTGATAAAAGTTCTGGTTTGTGAAAGTCATTGCTGAATGTAAGTGTGAATGTACTGTTCAGAAACGTTATCATAACACAGTCTTAGCAACTGTCTTGTTTTAAGATGTACAATCAGAAAGACATTTTTCTTTTATGTGAATTTCAGGTCATTTAAGTACCCTAAAAAACCTCATTCCTAAACTGTGAAATGTATTTAATCCATTGTCTTGTATAGTTTCATCTTTATCTGAGTTTCAAACTCTGCAAAGCTCCAAAATTCTTGGTAGTAAGGAGTTTTCTTAGTGAGTGACAAGAGTGAAAACTTCCATTTTTTTTTAAATCATCACCATGTCAGTTAAACAAACAAATGTTTTCTCAGCATTTTCTGAAGATGAACTCCTACAACGTCTTTCTTCATTGGGCCAGGTACTTTCATAGATTTCCACCAAAATCAGAGGGGTTCAGTTAGTGCAGTGATCTGAGCTGGTATCATACACTGCAGATTCAACACCTTGCTCAGGCAATGTTGCCGCTGATCTTGTTCTTGCTACCACAATTTTTCAAAGCAAGCAATGAATGAAATTGTTCAACAGAGGCTAAAGATGAAAAAAGGAAGGTCTAATTAGACACATTTTCACAGGATAATGTGAACATTGCAAGTTTATTTGGGAAACGTCATAATATAGGATTATTAAAAAAATAAGACCTCTAGTTTAGGAAGTCCCAAAGCTTCAGATTGCTCAAATCTGGATGCCAACACTAGCTTTGCTTTTGCTATTTCTGTTCTGGGAGCTGTTATTGGAGCAGGAGACTTGCTTAGATGCATCTTTGGTTTGAGCCAATACAAATGTCCTAATGTATTTACATCTTCTTCTTCCTAGAATGGGCATGGTAGAGATACAGAGCACTAGTCAAAAATAAAAATAAAGTTCTGTTTTTCAAGACTTTGTCATCCAAGACAAGGGACAGATGGAAAGAGGCAGGTGGAATTCCTGACCAAAATTCCCATTACTTTCCATTCCCAGTGTTCTGTTACTCAAAATAATAAAAAACTCCAAGTAAATTCCTTTTCCTCTGTATCACCACTGTGTATTTCTGAAGGCCTGAAGGAAGACCCTTTCAAAGCCTTGCATGCTTTGGTGCATATCCTGTGTTATGTGGGCTCAAAAAAACTTGGTGTGATAGCTGCCAGCGTGGGAACCAGGGACAAAGCTGTGTCTCTAATAAAGAGTGTGACTTAATGCACTAATAAAGAATCTTGAGAAAATACAAAATTAAGAAATCCGAAGCAACAGAAGAGGAAACAGGTGATATAACAATCAAAACCAAAAAAAAAGAAAGGTGAGAAGAAAGGGTTAATGTGTCAAAGTCTTCATTGGACTAAGGGATTGTTCCTGCTCTTACCCACTTTCTTTCCCAGAGTGGCTTGTGATGAGACTTACGTGTCCCCTCCAATGAGCTGTCTGTGTGTCACATGGAGATTAGATTACTCCTTCACTCAGCAACCTCATCCAGGCAGCTGCCATGGCCCACTACCCATAAAAAAAGCCCTATTTTCACTCTTGCTAGTGATGTTTCCCACACCGGAGAGTAGCAGAGAAAGTGAACAGTAAAAAACTACTTGGAGTGTCTCTTTGGAGACAGTGGGCTGTGTACAATGGTACATGGGCAAGAGAGACTCCTCTGTTACCTTCATGGGCTCAGGAAAGCTAAAAGATGTGTGGAAGAGCAATTCAGAAATATCCTCACCTTCAGTAATCAAGGATCCCACTCCCACAGCCACAGAGGAAACTCTGCAGGGAGTTGCTGTACTTGCCATCTGCATGCTCCACATGCAGCTTTCAAACCTCTGCCACCTCCTCCTCAAGTCCACAATAGGTTTACTAGACTTAACTCTGTGTACAAAGTGTACTTCTTTTTCTGGTTCCTCTTCCAAATATCTTCATTAGTGGGATAAGAATCATCTCATTCTAACTTGCTCTTTGCAAAATTAAAATGCTACTTTAGCTGTATTTTATTCATACTGAAATAAAGTTTATGTTTTTTCGAAAGGAAAAATACATCAGCTCTAGCCACCTACTGAGCTGCCATATTTCATGCCTAGAGGATTCATCAAGCACCTGGTGATTTTTCAGAAAGACAAGGAAACCTACTTGTATTTTCATCAATTTTGGGTGAAAAAAATCCCAACCATAGACAGTTGAAAATCTGAGTCCCAAGAAAGAAAAAAACCCTCAAACTATGAGAGAGTTTTAAAAATCCATGTTTCTTTAAGATGCTGGTTTTAGACTCCTAAAGAAATTTTTAAGACAAATTCCAAACATTTCTCCTCACTCTAAAGGCAAGACATTGCAAACTATTACATCACCTTAGTAAATTCACAGATGCTTTTGTTTGTGTTGTTAATGTTACTACTTAACAGGATTCACGTGAACTTCCAGGAAGAAGGTTTACACCTACTTCACTTATCAAGAGGAAAGAAACTGAATAAAACCCATCTTGCTTTACCTCATTCCTTCAGGTTTACAGCCAGGATATTATGCAGCTTTGTGGTTTCCAAGCTGTAGTGAAATTCAGAGCTAAAACCCTGCAGCTATATCCAAGGAGACTTTTGGGAGCATCTTCAGCTCCTGTGGGAGCTGTTCTATCCCATTAAGCAGGATGCTTCAGCAGAGCTTCCATTCTCACCCAAAAGCTGTCCAAGTCTTCATACTTCAGTACCTGTTACAGGGGGGGTTTGTGCATGTAAAGATGTGTAATATCTGCAAGCATATTGTTAGTTCATTTTTACTTCAGTATTTCCTACAAGTTAAGCTTCACATTATTACTCACTAACTCATCAGTAAACTGATGCCTGATCAATTTACTGCTGGTGGGTAGGCTAGGTAAGTCGTGAGAAAAATGGAGTCACTCCTTTTTTAAATGACTTAAAGTAATTAATGCCCACTGGAGTATCCACTGCGTCTCTAGGTAGTGGTTCTGGTGGTAAGTAATCCTCCTTGTTAAAGATGTATATCTCATTTCCCCTCTAAATGCATTTGCTACAGTACCTAGCTATTTGAATGCGTTATGTTTATATGGACAAGACTAAAACCCTCACAACTCTTTGTCCCCTTTTACCCATTAAGATATTAGGAGATAGGCCACAGTCACTGTTTCTTTTCCTTGCTTGATAACTAACGTTCTTCAGTTGCTCTCTAATGCAGCTCAATGTCAAAAAGTCAAGGCAGCAGAAATGGCTCTGAGTTGCCAGGAGTCATTTTCCCCTCAGGCCAAGGAAGGGAATAGGTCCATCATGTGTTGTCTAATGGCTGTGCAGGTCTGTTCATTACACCAAGAAGATCAGTACTGCAGTGCTACCCTCGGTTCTGGAGTCCCCCGTCTGGAAAGGATGGGATGGATCACAGAGTGAGTAAGTGCTTGGGATTCTAAAGATATACCTGCAGTATTACATTTTCACATATTATGATCTTAAATTATAAGAAGGGTAAGAAATTCTTTTATTGTGGTATAGTAGGAAAAGTGTTAAGGAAAAAGTTAATTGATAGTGGTGTTAACTTTTTTCCTTTTCCCCGATGTGCAAAGAAATAACAAGAACCAGCATCTTGGAGCTGAAGTCATACACATTCAGCCTTGAAATCAGATGTAATTTCCTTGCAATTAAGTTAATTTCCAATTGGAGAGATTACATAGAGAAGAGATACGTTTTCCATTGCATTGGAGTCTTTTAAATGAGATTAGATGTCTTGAACACAAAATTCTTTCATTTGGCTTCTGGGAAAAATATACATGCATAGATTACATATAAAGGAAACTAGATAAGGTATTTAGAACAACAGGTTCTGGTCTCAGAGTTGATAAGTACAAATAAATCATTCCATTCCACTTACAATTTTTTTAAGAGGTTGGCAGAAACACAGCAAAGGCTGTGACACTGGAAGCAACATCCAAAAGCCAAGCAGTGTGGAGGAAGCAGTGCTTGCATCTATTAAGCTTTCTTTAATTTATCCCTAGTTCAGATTTCAGTGGTGTTGGAAATAGCTGTATAACAAAAACTGGTTTTGTCTTCAGTGCTTGTGATACCATATTAGGATGAGCTACTTTTTAAAGACAAATACTGTAATCCTTTACAATTTGTTTTCCTTGCTATAACTTCAGATGATACACTTAAATTACTTTAATTGCTCAGCTGTGAATTCACACACTTTATTATGTTAAATTTTTCATTTAAAATTTATGACTGTTTTAGAAAAATTACTGCATTCTTGATGCCTGTCTTTTACCTGACATTGCTGGTACATATTCTCAATTTTGTAAGGCTTTTTTTGTCTGGATTGGTTTATTTTTCTCAATTACATCTTATTGTGGGCATTCAGTAAGAGCAGGCTGTGAAAATTTTTGTAGCAGATCTGGTAGGTTTACTTTCAAATAAATTAGTTATAGAATGAACTGTGCAGTAGTGCAGTCCTCTGTACTTAGAACTGATCTATCAAAGCAGTGAAGTCAAATTTAATTGCTGTTTATGAAGAAAACTGATCTGTGCTCTTTCAGGGGTCTGAATTCCAGGGCCTTATTAGTAGTCAGTTTGTTTGCCCATGTGCCACAGAACTGTAATATCTCTTTTACAAGTCCATTTTCCTCCTCAGCAAGTGTCAGAGACATGGAAGTCTCCATTCCTTCTTGCTTCCCAGTGATCCCTAAATAGCAATACACTGTGTAAGAAAAAACAATTTTGTGTCTCAGTTACCTAAATTTCATTGCAAGCTGTCTGAAAGGTTTTTAATTTCCTCCCTTTCTCCTCCTTGCTAAAAAGCATACTGTGGTAATATGCTGTGTCCGTTCTACAAGTTAAAGTTTCCTACCACTCCGTTTCTTTTGCTCCTTGAAAATCAGCCATACCGTCTTTGGCAGAATCATCTGTCTGCAAAGTAAAACATTTACAGCAAGCCCTCAATTTTCAAAATACTCTGCAGCCTTTTATCCACATCATATCCATTAAAATCAATTCCTGAATCAAAAAACATGCTCTTATTGTTAGGAAACCTTTCTCATTGAGTGATTGTTCTGGGTACACCAGCTTACTATGCTGAATCTGCTATTTGATGTATCAAAATCACCTGTAAATGATAATGCACTCACTGAATATGTTATTTTCCTCTCTACTTTCTGTCAACACAAAGTGTCTCTTATTTAGCTTTCTCTATGCCTTTTAAGACTCCTGCTAGTATGATATTATTTTATTTCTTAGGCATTATAAATACCTATATTATATAATATATGAATTATATAATATTCTACATATTTATTAAAAATATATGATGGTAGAAATCACAGACATGCACTGAGATATATATATATATCTCACATAAAAAAACAGAAGGCTAACTCTACTTTCTTGTGACCGCTTAAGGGCTGTGAGCGCTCAGTGCAGTAGGAGATGTTTGGAGAAACGTTGGTGTTTAGTGCCTCCAGTGTCAGCACTGAAATTTAACCACCTAAATGCCAGATCCTGCACCTATGACAGAGTAACACCTGGTACAAGTACAAAATGGGAGCGGAGTGGTTGGAGAGCAGCCCTACAGAGAGAGATCTGGGGGTGCTGGTCAGCAGCAGCTCAGTGTGAGTCATCAGTGAGCCCTGGCAGCCAGGAGGGCAAACACCGTTCCTGGGGTGCATCAAACATAGTATCAGCAGCCAGGCAAAGTAGGGGATTGTCCCACTGTATTCAGCATTAGTGTAACCTCATGTCAAGTACCATGTGCAGTATAAGCAAATTAAAGGTTATAATGAAGGCCAAGAGCATTGAGTCTTATTTTATGACATAGCCTAACCTCTGACAGAAAACTGCCATTTAGATAGCATACCTATACTAGAAACTGACATTCTGAACGCAGTTATAATATTTAAGTGAAATTCACACTTATTCCCAGATGTATCTGCAACCAAGGTATACAAATACCCTGATTTTTCTTTTTATTGACAAAAGCAGAAAAAAAATATAATTTTTTTTTCTGAAAAGTAGTTGAAATTAAAGGCAAGGACAAAAAACTGTTTCTTAGCTTTGCTAAAGGGATCAAATGGTAGGTTTTTTCCGCAAGGAAAAATGTCCTTTATAATAGTATTAAAGGGTCTTAAGACACTGACAGCAGAAGCATCACTGATGTTCAGACAGACATCTCAGCAGAAATAGTTGCAAGAGATTGACTTACTGTAACAAGAAAGGCAACCTTCTGTCTTGAAACTGTATTATCAAGGTCAACCTTTTATTAATGTTCAAAAATTCAAGTATCTTGATGAAGTCCCCCCTTCCTTCCAAATCATGACACTATTTAAAAGATATTCTATGACATAAGACCAGCTACCTTAGGGCATATTAGCTATATGTCCCCCTCCCCTGCCCCGTGATGTTTTGTGCATGGTTTGCCACAATTTCCCCCCATCCCTTCATCTGTGTTTCTTATTGTTCTTTCAAAGGCAGCGCGGAGGAGACTGAAAATGATTTAAACTTCATCCCTCTCCTCCTCCTCCCCACACATCTTCCTTTATATACACTGGTGTGTAGATGAAGGTTACAGGCACTGTTTGCAAGACAGGAATTTACAGACTGACTGTAAGAAAGCCCCCCCTTCACCTGCATCCACACTGATACTCATTGGCCACAGCCTGAAACTAAGAAAACATTAGAAGTGCAAATACTGAAAGGAATAAGTCTGCTTTTTGTGTTTTGCCAGGCATAGGTTCAGAGCAAAATGAATGTACGCTTCTGAAAGAACAGTTGCTAAAATCAACAGTGAGAATTGAGAATCTGATTGACTTCAGTGAACCCTCAGCAATGCCCTTTCTGCTTAAAGATCTGCTATAAAAATAAGATCTCCTCAAATGCATAAAAATAAGGTACTTGCATTGTATTGACTTAAAGTTGCCTCAGAAATATTTCCTTTTGAATCTCAGTTCTGATTATAATTGCACTATACTTTCACACTGCATTTATTTCTGGTATAGCAGCATTGCCATGACAACCCCAAATTATGTCAATATATATGCATGTTTGAGCTAATTCTTTATGAAAGAATTAAAAAGAGAAAAACTGAATCAAGAGCAGGGCTAGAGAGCACTGCCTGTGTCACACGCACTGTAGGAAATCTGTACAAATTCTAGAGCATTTTTCACTAGAGTTGCAATAAAAGACACAAATTTTTTTTTCTTTTTATTTTTTTTTTAATTCCATCTTTCTTATTTCATTTAGCTACAGTCCTAAAAGAGAGCTTGGCTGAAGTCAGCTGTATTACAACAGGTCTGGATTTCACTCATGGGGAACATAGCTTTTCCTTTACACTGAACAATCAAATTTGCCAAACTTGTCTCTGGCAGCCAGACTTGACCAAGTGCAGTTGCTGCAGTACAGAAAGAAACAGTCCGAACTCAGCATTTATGGCTGTGCAGAGATCCAGAGATTGTCACAAGGAGATGAGGAGGAGCCCCCTTCACCATTTTGTTCGTCTCCCTCCCCTCAGCCAGCAAGTGGCTAATTCTATCCCCAGAGCTGTCCACAATTCTCCACTGTAAACATCAAGAATGATAGACCATCCCTATCTCTTTGCACTGACTGTATGAAATTTTATGGACCATCAATGCTCTTAAGAGCACTCTGGAAATGGAATAGTATCATCACTCAACTCCTTGTAGGACCAGTTGTGAGAACAGTTTTGAGCAAAACTGGATGAAGCAGTAGTTTTAGTCTTAGTTTAGGTTTCTGGGGGCTATGCAACAGTCTTGCAGACATTCATGACTCTTCAGAGACCAGAGGAAAAAACATAGATGATGATGATGATTAATAATAATAAATTAATAATAATTATATAGTCAAAATATTAAAAAGGTTGCTTTTATTTCTCTGTGAGAATTAAAATGTTGACCTTTCCTTTAGTCTGATTTATTTGACTCAATAAAGTGACTTAACAGTAAGTAGAGTAGGGTAACTGTACACTAAAGTGGGAGGAAAAATCAAATGTCAGATAAGAATTGCCTGAGCAAAAGAATGTAAGACCATCTTTTAAGTCATGAAAGGAGTCAAAGTAAGGTTGCCAAGGAAACCTTAACTTTGCTTTTCCTACGTTGTTTTTTTTTTTTAATTGTGAACTTAGCCTCCTCATTGTGCCAAAATTAATGGGAATTTTGAGTCCTATCAATTAGTCTGTGGGTTTTGTCTTTCTTCTTTGTCGCTGTTCATTTGTCATATGATATATTAGAATCTGAACATACCTTTCTGAACATCATTTATGCTATGTACAGGGAAAATGATAAGGTAAAAGAAAAAAGACCTCTCAATAGTCATTTAAGGAAAGAGAGGCCCATAAAAAATGGAAACACAGTGGCCTGTCTGTATGGCTTTGAATAACACCCTTCCCGAGATAAAACCATATTGATTGGACTGATTCTAGATAGCTGACTTTGCAGCACCATCTGCATGCTGTAGCAATCTATGATTCTAATTATTTGGAATTGTTATTCAGGCTGATAAATTGTATGAAGGATTTTGTTTTCCATCAAGTCATTCTTCATTCAGCACTGATAGCATCATAATTAAGTAGCAGTTGCTGGCTCTGAATGTGGATAATTCATAGGAATTATTTCTAATAAACAAACAACATAGAACGTATCAAAACCCATCCTTAAAACGTAATCCCTTGCTCTGTGGGCTGGATCTATTCCCTCTGATACAACCTAATCAGACAAAAAGCAGAGGAGGTATTTGCACATTTCGGCTTTCCTGTTCTGTGAGCTTTGTTAGGAAGTGTTAAACGTATTAAGCTGAGATGCCTGCTCTTTATTAACAAAGAAATTACATGCTGTAGGAACACATGGAATGAAGATAACCAGGACACTGGGAAACACAAATGTGTTGGGGTCATACACTAACAGTACTTATTAAGTAATCAATTTATCATGAACTGCATCATACACTGAAAGTCAGTGTTCACTTTGTGATTGAAGTATTTACAATAGTAAGAAGTATTTACAGTAGTAAGATTATTCAATGCCAGCTACACAGGGGACCATTAATTCCATTCAGTTTCAAAGGGCACAACACACTAAATAACTGGGAAGTCCAGAACTGGCCAGTTGCCATCATTAAGGTTGTAGGCACAAGGAGTTTAAAAGTATAAAAGACCTTCTACATGCATTGTATCATAATAATTTCACACAGCTTTCAAGGGCCATTTAATGATCCTTCATTATGAGGTAAATATTGGTGTTTTCTATGAACCTCAATAGACAGGCACTATGAGATGGTGAAAAAGAATCCTTTTTCTATAGCATCTATGAACTGTGGAATTGGATGGTAAATTTTTTCTGGAAGTGGTTTGTTTAAATAAAAGTGCAATTTAAGAGCAACATGTGCAATATTGTCTTTTATGAACTTTATAGAGATAGTGGATTTAGTGAATTTTTCAATCTTGAATACTTTCTGGCTTCAAAATTCTATCACTCACTAAGGAAAAGACAATATGCCTATGAAGCTTGTATAGTCTAGGCTCCTGTAGCCTTTTAGCCTATGTAATGCTTCTAAATATTGCATTAAGTATTCAGGTCAGTAGCACATAAGCATAGGCTGTTTCTGTCCTTGATTTGATCTACAAGGCAGTTCAGGCCAGTGAGTTGTATCCATATTTGTCATATTTACATTTATTCAGTTAATTCCACTGGAGAAAATGTTGACTGTATTTAGCCCTTCTATTTAAATTCAATCGAGCTGAATAATACTGGATATTATGTGGCTATATGGGTTCATACTATCAGGCTATTAAATATAATGTATTGGATTATTAAACAGCTACAGCAAAGTGATTTGTAGCTTACCATTGCAAATTGTGTGCAATTTTCTTCCTACAGTTTATTAAAGGAGAGCACTCCTTTTTTTATGTAAGTGTGTATCTTATTTTTCTGGTATTTTTGGACCTGGTGCTTATCTTCTCCCCTCCTCTGTTCTTAAAAAGATAAAAAAAGGGGGCGAGCTAGAGAAAAGAAGAGAAAATGTTTAACTTCTTTCTTCTTTGTTTCTTTTCCTCCATGCAGGTAGCTTGGGACTTTAAACTACAAACTGTCATTGACTAACCTTCATCTCATTAAGCAGGTTCTCAAAGGATTGCTTTGTTTTGCAGAACACATTCCATTTTCCACCTTCATTAGCAAACTACTAAATATTTTACTTTGTCACAAGACTAGAATGTATAAACAGATGCATCTTCCTTTCTTTCTGACTCTATCTCTTCAAAACATATTCTGATAATCCTCAAAGAAAACCTAGATGGATTTCATCAATTTATTACTGTCAGTTGGCAGAGAGGTAAGATACAGAGTAAGAAAAAGAGAAAAGGAATTTTTTTAAAGGAAGAGGTTTTGTGGGTATAAATATTGCGTTTAGGGGGAAAAAGCAAACCACAGTGGCAGTTCACCATGGCCATAGTAGTGTTGGAGGTCTGCAAGTATTTCTCTGAAGCATCATGCAGAAGGTTCCTCTTCCCACCCCGTGGGCTGTTGAACATACTACTTTGCAATGTGCCACCTTTCCTTGCAATACATAACATGTCCTGACAATTTTCAGTATTGCAGGCAAACAGATTTACTAGACTTGCTTTACATACGAAATGAGATAATGAATTAAAACCCCAAACCATTTTCCATTTGAAAGTTAAGGGGAGTATTTTCATTTATTTCAGTGGAATATAGATCAGGCTTTTTCTTTCAAACTAAAAAAGCTTTCTTCTCATTGAAAGACAAAATTTACCATATATAATGTGATTAATGCCAAAGTCTGCGTCTGCTGGAGGGGTTTCAGTATCTGTCAAAGCACAGTATTTCATTGAAAGGTAGGTGGGCCTGGTGGGCCTGGGTTGATGGTCTATTCTACCTCCCATTTACAGGCAGGACCCACTACCCACTCCTGGTCAGGTGGCACTGGGAAAAGTGCAGCATGTAAACACAGAATGGTTGAGTAAAATAAAATAACAAGAAAAATATCTTGTTTACATTTTGCAATAGGCCTCCAAATTTTAAGACTTGAGAGACAGCTAAAGGAATGTGGAAAATAAGGACAGTACTTATGCATTTTTAATATTTTTAATACCCTGGGTTTCTCATAGCCATATGTCCTTCAAATGCACATCACTCACATTGTATGTCCAACTGCACATTGCCCTGCATTTTCAGTTACTGTCCATCACCATCCATAAGTGACGTTCCTGACGCTTAGAACTGAGAGAAACAAAGTTCACTCTTTATCCCTCTCTTCATGCTTAACTAGCAGGTTTCTTAAGTTTCTTCTGGACATTTGAGAAACAGAGATAGTTTCTGCGCTTGCAACCCGGGCAGCTTGGCCTGACAAAGGGGAGTAGGATATTATTACTCTGTAAGGGCTGGAAGGCATTACTATGGGTCCCAAGCACAAACACAGTTAAACCACAGAAGATGAGGAGAATGAGCCATGTGAAGTAAATGTTTCCTTTTATTCCTTTATTAAGCAAGCTCTTGGGAAATTCTTTTTTATTGCTTGAGGCTGCCACTTGATTCAAGAAAGCCCACTGAGCCTTTTATTATCAGGTTCATTTTAACCAGCATTTTGCTTCAACAGTACTCCAAATGCTTTATTATCTATTTTTATTAAGCATTACAATGAGAAGGTAAAACTGATTACGCCTCTCCCATGCACTGCAGATTGGCTTGGGCTTGTGCATTGTAATGAGCTCATTCTGCCGGCCTCCCACAGTGGCCACAGCTTTGCCAGTGAGTGGAGCAGGGGTTATAAACTTTGTGTTTTATTTTAGGTTGATTTGCATTGTTAGTGAAAGCTGGAGTGACGATTGTTATAAAAAGGAGACAGGCACTCAGGAGATTAATACGCAAGTAGAAGTAAAGTTTAGTAAGCCTTAGATTACCATCCTAACAACATTTTTAGCAGGGGATTGAACACATTGCTACTTGGGAATTTAAAAACGGTGGGGTAAACTCTTCACTGACAGTCTCAGCACCTGTGGCCTCCAGGATAAAACATGCTTTTACTGCAGGGAGAACCTGCTCCACAGTCACATCATGTCCCCTTATTCTACCATTTTCAAAGCAGTGCAAGAAAAAACCCCAAAAGCTTTTAATGAATGTGTTCGATAGTTGGAATAGTTTTCTGAAGGGTTTTGACAAGTTTTATCTTCAAATCGTGTATCATTTTTTGCTCCTCATTGTTGATCTGCAAATCTTCAAACTAAGAGATTTAGGGATTTCCTAGCTGTAGCCCAGTCATATTCAACAGGGAGCTGGCGTTCCCAGGCTGCAGGAAAAAGGATCACAGGTCTGTCTGCAAAGGTCTTACCCATGTGTCTGTGCACTACAGCCTGTAATGCAGTTCAGAGGGGGGGAAATTTGTTAAAATCTTCGTGAACAGGAAAATATCTTCTGTGAATGCAGAAAGAATGCACACAACTATGACACAGGCTACACTGCTTGCTGTACTAGCAGTAGATGTCAAACTTTCTTCATCCCTCTTTTTGTAGAAATAAAAATGCTGTTTTCATGACTACAAGATTGTAATTTTTCGAAACAGTCACAAGAGGGTTTTTACTTTGGCTTCTACATTTTCTGTACTGATAATACAGTTCATTTTTTAGCTAAACTCTCATATATGCTTCGTAATGTTAGAAAAACATCTTTACAAAAGCCTTTTGATCAGAATAGAGTTAATTAAGTGATATCTTGCCACCATAGTGCTCATTGTTCTTCAGTGCATTGTGGATGGATCAAATTTTTGTAATAAATCATAATATCAGTTTCATTTCATTTCATGCTTCATTTACATATATTCTTTGAAACTTTGCCTCTTAAAAGATTTAAGAGCAAAACTATTTTGGAAGTCTGAGGTAGATACACAGCTTTTAGACCACACATTTTTTTCATCAGTGTCTTAATAGGTATGGCATGCCTGATAGGCCTTCATGTTAAACCTGTGCCTTGGTATCAATCAGAGTCTATTTGCTTCCCTTCTGTCCTTTGCTTTAGTTCATACCATTATTTTCATCTGCTGAGTGATATCAGTGTTTCAGTGCTGTATACTCAGATCAGTATTTATCATCTCCAATTGTGCATATCTTCTTTCCATAAAATACAACTGCTCCCATTTGATCATGGCATCTCATTTAGTTTTGTATATTCAATTTATCACGTGCCATTTGCTTTTAGTCACATTTTGTGCTCCAGTCTAATACATTCTGAGTTTGTTTGGCTGCTCTTTGAGAGCTGATTTTGAACAC